CTGTTCTACTTTTAGAGATTACAGCAGTAAGTTTAGCTAACTTTGTTGCCTAGCTACCTAACATGAAGCAGCCTTCTGGTTTAGACTTAATCTAATGTGCTATAAAAGGTATTTTTATTAAAAGTATTTATTCCATACAAAATGTATATTTTCTTAAATTGAGATAGATTAATATATAGAGGTATTAAATCAATGTATTATGTTATGTAGAGTAATGGAAATGTACAATGAACATCTTAATAAAAGACATCAGTTTTTGGTGAAATATATAATCTTCTGCAGAGGCTGACAGTGTGTGTTTGTTAGTATAAGGTGGACAAACAATGTAGACAAATAAAATGTGAAAGGCAAATTTACTTTAGGAGGAGTTTTGACAGTTTGTCACATGATTAGACTATTCAGCAGGCTTTATTTTATGTTGGTGTCAGATGTTTCTCTGTGACCAGTGGCAGCAGAAGAGTGGACATTACCAGTCTGTATCCCTAAAACACATTTCATTAGCTTCTGTGGGAGTTTCTCTGAAAGCACAATGTTGAGATTTGGCGGCAGAGCTCTGGTGAGTAACAAACCTTCAATTAATTGTCTGTTTACAATGTCCATAATGTAGCTAACTGAAATTAAAATAGCAAGATAATATCGTATTGGTACAAATATTTGTTAATCCTTGTATAAAACAAATGTTTCTTACCTTGTATTCTTATATATTTCTAATTTAGTAACTGTTTTTATATTTCAAGTATTTCACTAGTTCTTGACCTCCTTAATTCTTCTGTAAAATTTTATGAATTCATGAGAATAAGATAAAACACTTACATAACAAGGATTTCCCAACTCCTTCAGCCATCTTAGTCTGCTGATTACAGAATATACTGTAATACGAGTGAATTTGCAACAAAAGATGAGCACCATTCTTAAAATGAATAAACCAAACCAACACTAGCTTGATTGATGTTCTCTTGAGTGTGAAACCTTCATTTATGGTCACTGAACTAAAGAAATTAAGTAAAGACTTACACTTCTAGTCTAGATTAAAATCGCTGTCATTTTCTCAGGGTTATTAGCATGACAGGTATAGTTTGTAAGGAGCAGGTGAACAATTTTAGGTCCCTGGGAATCAACATCACAAAAAACCTGTCATGGTCATCTCACATCTTCAACCTGGTTAACAAAGCACAGAAACAAATGTATCTCTTAAGGGAATTTAAGAAAGCAAAGCTGTCAAGCTGTTAGCTTAGAGTAATACAAAGCATTCTGACTGGAAACATCTGGCATGGGATGTGCACAGATGTGAACTGTATCTGAATTTCATTCTACAACCTTGCAATGTATCATTGAATTGATTCCAGTAATAAAAACACAACCATTACAAAACAACCAGAGACAGGGATATAACATACATGTATTTTAGTACATTCTTGTATCTGTCAGGTAAAGGTGGGGATGGTGAAGTCTTGTCACCTAGTGAAACCTGTATCAGCAACTCTGGTTGCTGGCAGAAAACTGACCCAGCAGCAGGGAGTGCCCAGGCAGCCTGTACCCCCTCTGGATCAGACCTGTGATCACTACCTCAGCATTGTGGAGACCGTTGTGGAGCCAGAACAGTTGAATCAAACAAAAAAAGTGGTGGAGGACTTTCAGAAACCAGGAGGGGTCGGAGAGAGACTGCAGAGAGGCCTGGAGAGAAGGGCGCGTAGCACTGCGAACTGGGTGAGCTCAACGAGTACACCAAATGCTATAGACACATTTACTGAGACAATGGGAGTGAGCTCACGCATTTATTTAGCTTGTAGCGTCATTGTGCATTCAACTGCTGGGACCTTTAGACACATTCTGAATGAAAGCTCATAGACACAAGATCTCCAAGTTTAGATAATAAATAATACTATTGATTTTTACTGAATGTTTTGCTTCAACCCAACTTAAACACCATATGACATTGTTTATTCCTTATAAGCTTTTGATATGACAATCTTTAGGACTACTAACCCAAAATGATTTAGTAATTTCTGTCTTATTAATTAACTCTGTTTGTGTTTATCTGTCTGTCCCTTATTGTTTGTAGTTAACAGACTTTTACAAGAAGGCTGATTATCTCGACAAACGGAAGCCTTTGGTCATTTTTTCCAACACTGGGGGGCTCGTCCGAAAAAAAGCGATAAGGGATATTAATAAGGAACAGACATGGTAAACGCATACACTCACACACTGACACACTTACACACTGGTACCAGAAACACGAGTATCAAACTTACAGTAGAACAGATCCAGGTTGTTGTCCAGTTGATGGTTTTCCACTGTGTGTGTGTGACTGAGTGAACTACTGGTCTTTTACTGTTTTCATAATATGTCCTTCTACAGTTCAGTTATGTTTCTTTCTTACAGATCAGACTGCCCTCACTATTGGCTTTGACTGACACAAACTTCTGGCATGGGCGGGTTTTCCCCAGGGGTGCATCCCCATTGGCTAATTGGATCATTTTTGAGTGACAACTCAGTTCTCTGCACTTTGCTTGGAATAAGAGTGTCCTTATTCCTTACATCAGAAGTCATCAAAGTTTTGTGGGTTGTCTTGTCACTTTTTGGATAAGCAAGCAAAACCCTGACCTAAAAGGTTGTTTATTTACCTGACTTTTCCCTTAACCCCAACATTAAATTATTGATATTGATAGATGTAAACATTAAGGAAACCTCACGCCTCACTGTAACTTCAACAGAGATGTTTTTTTTATTTGATCATTAATTTACAAAGATACACTACTTGTAAATTTACTGCTGGCATAACTGAAACCACGACTAGACTGAGGCACTGAGCTGTCACTCAAAAAATCCCTGACCAATGGTGACACCGGGGGAAAAAAACATGCAAGAATTTTGTGCCAGAACTGCAAACAAACAAGAGAACTGGCAGCAACACTGTATTATTACACTGTACACTGTATTACACTGTACACTGTATTATGAGAACAGTAAAAGACCAATACATAACTGCACAAATATTGTTTGCTATGTTGTTTGATATGTGTGATGTGGCGAAAAGGATGATAATTTAAGAACAATATAAGAGGATAAAAAGGGAAGGAGTTGTTTTTCAAAGAGAGTAAACTTGGGTGGTGAGCAGGACTGTGGATAGCCAAGGAGATACAGACACAGGTGTTAAATTAAAAAGGCAAGCCAATATTTAAAACAAATTGTATCTGGTGGGCGCCTTTGGTATTTCCACATCCTGCCCCCTTCGTCTCACTCCTTGGCCACTGATTGGTCCACCATGGGCCAGCTCTCATCTGCCACTGGTGGATTGTGCTGTCTGTAAAGAAACTCAGAACAGAACTGGTGCAGTTTATCGAGTGATTAGCCCACTGAGTGTCAGGGAGAAGTATGTCTACATAAACTCAGATGTCAACTTAAAAGCATGCATAAAACCGCAATGTTATAAAACCAAAATGTAAAATCAAGCATAAACACAATATAAAAACATCCAATAAAAGGTATAAAATTACAATAAAAAAGTAAAAACACATTAAAGACTTGCAAACAAGTACTTACCCCATGAAATGCATTTTATTTTTTAGGTGACATTATTTTTGCTTCTCGGTGATTTCCTTCAAATATGTCTCCCAAAATTCCACTGGACACAGAGTAGAGTATTTCAGAAGTGGAGTGTGTTTCCTGCCATATGTTGTTGACCTGTGTATTTTGACCCTAAAAGCATTCAAAGCGGTGCATTTCCCTGATTTAAAATATCCTCTAATCTACCTCTTATTAGTTGACTTCTGGCCTAGTGCCACAATGTTGATCTGCCCGTGCTGCTTTGATGCGAGAGGGTTGCAACTATTAATAGAATATTATTGGATATTGATCCACACGAGAGATACAAAATCCTAATGATCTCCTAAGATCATTCAAAGATATTTCAGCATCTGTAATCTGGAAGCACAATACTACATTTCATCTTCAAGATTTTAATGAATAAACATGTTTTCTCTCTTTAGGTGGGGTTCCAGATTCACAGGGGCACTATTGGAGATCAAGACAAGGATTGACAAGTGAGTACTGAGCTTCAAATGTTCTCCTTTTCCCACAAACACACTCTTTATCATGTGAACAGTTTCAGTAATACAGGTAACAATAAATATGACTTGTGCAGCAGAAAATTATAAAAAAGTTATAAAATTAGACGTTGACGTTTTACAGTGGGACCCTACCAGTTGACTACATCGCAGGAAGGCCACTGTGTATGAAGGACTTTGACAATCTGATGTCATCCTGCCGTATCCCTGGTCCAAAGATAGACTCACTGGCATTCTGGGGCAAGAGCGCCAACCCGCCGAAACACTTTACTGTTGCACACAATGGTCATGTAAGAGCTTCTGGTCCAAGTCAAACATGAACTACAACATCCCCACTTTGTCTTTGACAATCTATCTTCCTCTTCGTTTCCTGTCATCTCTAAATTCTGATTCTGAACCACCTCAACTGACTGGTTCAAAGACTTAACTTATCTTCTTACCCTCACTCAGATATCTGAACATCAGCACAAAGCTTGATCTTTTCTTTCAGACCACTGTTTCTGTAGTAGTTTTCTTCCTCTGCATTATTTCTGAAAATGTACACTTAGAAACCTTCGCTAACCTAGTTTAAGCTATAAATTACCAAGTAAAAAAAAAAAAAAGTATCTGTGTTATTTTTAATTCCTTGACCTAGCTCTATGATGGGTTTCCTGCTTACACTGGCCATTTCTGCCAAAAATAACTCTTAAGTGAATAGCAGTTTGCTAGATGTATTATTTATTCACTTCATTAGTTTTGATTATTTAACCACAAAGACAACGTGAGGCCTTGGGGACCTTTGCATGTCCCTGTTGGTAAGTTGTGCTTTCATGTGTGTCCTCCTCTTGTATGCAGTTCTTTATGATGGATGCGTACAACAGTGATGGGCTGCCTCTGACAACTGATCAGCTCTATGTTCAGCTGGAGAGGATCCGCAACTCCTCACTAGAGACCAACATGGACCCTGTCGGTATCCTCACTACTCAGCATCGTGATATATGGTTTAAAGTCTACACCAACCTCATAAAGGGTGAGCACAACTCACAAAAAAGCTGCATTATATTTTACATTTAGCTTAACCCTTGTGTATGCTGTATGATACACCTGTATATGTCATGTCGGGGACACCCAGACGCAAATGGGCAGCAAGAGAATAGACCCTCCCTGCAGGTTATCACAAGATTGTCCTTTTTAACTTAATTGATGCAGAATAAGTGACACCCCACTTATCCATGAACACGTCATTTTCATGAGTTCATCATAAAGACCAGTTGTATGTGTGATTTATAAAAGAGCAGAGGAGCAGAATCGCTTACTTACCAGTGCAGAGAAATACACTGTCATATAAACAATTCAATTCAGTTTTATTTGT